GAAATAGGCCTCTCGATCATTTTATTAGACTGTACTAGCAAATTGAAATACTCATATTTTATTGTGTCAGGAGCAATCTCGATAGCTTAATAACCGAGTCACGTAGCAAATAGCAGTCGAGGAAAAAGATTAAACGCTCGCCGAAATCGGACTCTAATTACCTGAAGAGTAAGGTCACCGCATTAAACCACCTCTCTACAACGCGCATGTATCGGGGGGGTTCGGTGAACCCACATGCTATCAATCTTGAGACGTAATCGTCGACGTTTCATTAGAGCGGCACAATGTACGCTGCGCGTGAACAATTTCCGTTCACGTCCTTCTCTCTCTCGTACAAATATAACGGAGCGGCACTTAATTCACACACAACATAATTCGTATCCTCCTAATTTCGACTTCTCATTATTTATTCTCGCCGCGTTTCCAAATAAAGCGCAGCATGCCGTCCGCTCTTCTTCTATAGAATTCGGCGGCAATTTCGTATTTTCTCTCATTAAATCGACGTCATTATCGACGTGCGAGAGAGAGAGAGAGAGAGAAAGAGCGAGCGTTTTAAAAAGGCGAAAAGAAAAAAATGGATCGAGTTGGTAATTGCAGGTGTAATGCGTCCCTCGTTACGGACGTTTTATTCGTTTCTTAGTCGCGCGAGATCGCGATCTGCGCCAATATTTCAGATCTTGTCGGGTTCCAGCTTGCGTTTCCGCCTTTTTCCTGTTTAGCGTCTCGATATTGGGGCTGATCGCATTGCACAAATTGATATTGTATGCATATAGGTAGCAGCTGGCCCTTCGTCTTCTTCTCGCGCGACTATATTTTGATAATACTTTAAATTTTTGTCTCATTTATACGTAATTTTAATTACACTTAATATATCTCGCTTTAACGCATCCACCTGTCGGCTAAATTTCGATAAAGTGAAAGAACGCAGTAATAATTTAGAGTAATAATTTTTCCCTTCGGTATCATCTTTGCTTTATTAATTGCAGCTTTGCTCACTTTGGGAACATGTAATGTGCTTTGAAAAAAAATTTTGATACCGATATCGATGGTAGCGTTAAAGGTACCAATTTTGTTTCGAGTCGCGACTTAATAAAATATCAAGAAGGTCTTTTCTCTTTCACTTTCTCTCTTTCTCTTTCTCTTCCCCTAGGTGAATCCTTTTCATCTAAACTACCGGGTATGAGATTAAAGCGAGTTCATTGAGAATTCTTGAATCACGTGTGCCCCATTCCCGAGAGGCACTTGTGCCCACCAATTACGAGAGAAGCTGCTTTCATCTACGGTTCTTCCCGTACTCTCCTTCCTCATCTCTCGCTTACACCGCGAAGGTCAGGAAGATACGCGCTCGACCACAGTTATGGGCTTGGGAAACAACAAGAACGACGGGGAGACGACGATGGGAGGCATCTGGGCACCTGAACTTTGACCTGAACTTCTTCACACGCGACCCGGGAAAGGGAGAGATGGTATATTATTTTCTTCTTTTCCGCGTGAAAAGTCAACAATTATTGTATTCGAAAAAATATTAAGTTTCATTGAGACTTCACGTTATCTATAAGGAATGACAGCGAAAATCCGTTCATTAGGATAAAATTTTTAAGCGAGCTAACCATCTAAAATCGTCACGTCCTCTTCGAGCCAAATTCAATTTCAGTTCGAGTAATATTATCAAAAATATCGAATTCTGTGCATGTGTGTCTTGATATTTGTAGAAAATATATTTCGAAGAGCAAAACTTGGCATAAATATCGGTAGAAATATAAATATCAGTTATATGCGATGAAGAGATTGAAATGGAGGTGGGGAATGACGTTGACCTAATTTCAGATTAGTAACTGTCGCATGAAGAGAGAGCGCATATGTTTCATTTGATTTGTGTCATAGCATCACGAAGACAAGTTGTCCAAACACTTTAGCCTTTTGCCATCGTTATTATCATTGTAATTATGCGTTTTAACACGTTCTTTTTGGGTGATTGTCACTCGAAAGGTATTAAAATTTTGACAGCATTACTTTCAACATCAGAAAATTCTATTATATCTATTTGATATTATCAAAAATTTAATCATCTAATAGATTTATAAAAGAAATTTATTTAATAATCAGTCATCACAAATTTTTAAATCATGAAAGTAATATTTAAAGATGCTTAGTTTGCATCTACAAACGCAAAAGAAAAAAAAAGAAAAACGGTAAAAAATACATATTCCATTTTGATTGTATTTATTCTCATGAGGCATTTTTACTATCGTTATTATCATTATAATTATGCGTTTTAACATGTTTTTTTTGGGTAATTTTCACTCGGAAGGTACTAAAATTCTGCCAGCATTACTTTCAATATCAAAAAATTCTATTATATCTATTCGATATTATCATCAAAAATTTAATCATCTAATAAATTTATAACAGAAATTTATCTAATAATCAGTCATCACAAATTTTTAAATCATGAAAATAATATTTAAAAATGTTCAGTTTGCATCTACAAACGCAAAAGAAAAAAAGAAAAACTCGTAAAAAATGCATATTCCATTTTGATTGTATTCATTCTCATGAGACACTTTTTTACACGTGTACACTCAAATTTACATAATAAAAAAATAATCAATTTTTCTCTAGAGAAGCATCGTAAATCCTCGTTTTTACAATCGAGGGAAATCGTGGGTGTACGAAAGAAACGAGCGGCAGCGCGGGGGACGGAACGGGAGGAGGAAGACGGAGGTGGAGGCGAATATGTGCGCTTTTGCCCGTTACGAGAGAACGTGCGCCGGCTTTCGTGCCACGCCGAGATAAGTGGTGTATGATTTGGCGATGATTGATGGGGTCGTAGGTCAAAGTGATCAGCGGCGCTCCGGGCGCCTCGGCTCACCTGACTCCTCGGCGGGATCTGAAAGTCTGGAATACCGGGGGTTCTCCTCGGCTTCCCGAGTGTGTAATACGCCTTCGTTTCCCCCCGACTCCCTTCTCTGTCCCCCTGTGCGGCTTTTTATCTTGTGTTTCGATGTCGAATACCGGCATAAATCTAAATTTATGCCGGTATTCAATATCGGTAAAAATTTTGCGCTGTCGATAATCCTTCCCTTCAGCAACCTTCCAGCTCAAGAAAAAGATTCGCTCGTCGAGCAAAATAAATAATGTATAAGAAATATTTTATCATTATTAGTATTTATTTTAATTAATTTATAATTGCAATTAAAATAATTCTAATTATTTTATACCATATTATTCATCACCGTTAGATAAAAAAGAAAAATCTTACTGATATGTTTATCTGCAAACGCAATTAATTATTCATTACTTAGTCATTAAGTTTTGACATTTGTAATAAAAAAAGTATCAAATTTTCGGAATCGATAAAATATTGACTGTCACTTTTGACATCAGTGAATAGTTTTATAGTTTAAAGTCATTTATATAGTTTAAAGTCAGATTTGTTTCTAATGCAAGTTGTTTATTATGTATATTGACGAGAGAAATGACTTCCCAGCGAGAAAACAAGCAGAGGCTTATTTTTTGTATAAACTTTTTTCGTCGCATTATTTCGAAGCCTGAGCAAGCAATATCGACTACATTAATTCGGGATAATCAATTTAGGCCTAATTGAGGATTACGATGAACCGCTCAGGGATCTCTCGAAACCCATTCTCGTCTCTTCTCCACCGTCGGAATGCAGACGATCGCAGCGTTAATAGATTAATTTATTATGTTAAAGCCCTCAAAGACACCGCCTGATTTTGTAGCTCGACGACATATTATTATCGTGTCATGGCCATCGTTATAAGAACTCCACGAAATACCGCGAAACTTCCACCGATGGAATGTTAATTTCGACGCAACACACGTGTTCAAATATGCACACATAGTGTGGGAGACATCAAATTTATTTTGTATTTTCTTATTTTACTTTGTTTACTCATTTTTTTCGTAACATTTAAGAGATTCATAATTTTTATAATTAGGAGGAGAAAAATATCATTATATATGTGTATATATATATATATATATTTTTTTTTTTTCTTTTATTGATATTTTATACATAATAATGTAGGTTTTCTGATATATTTCTATTCTCTGTTTCTTAGCAATTAATCAAAATTGCATTTTATCAAAACTGATATAAATATGAGAAAATTTGATTATAATTAATATTACAGAAAATGTTGCTCATTAATTGTATTAGTAAATAAACTTTACAAATCCATAAATCAGAAATTTTTAAGTTATAAAAATGTATAAAAAAGATGTGTAAAAGAAATGCAATAAATGTAATAAAACAGATAAGAATTTGTGCTACACAATTTTTATATATTGTATTTATATTATAAATCACAAGAGAGATGTGAACATATAATTTTAAAATTAATATAAATTGACGATTAATAATATTAGATATAATATTAAATGTTAAAGCATTAGTCAATATATCACTGTAACAATATAACAATATAATTTTTTATGTTAAGCTATTAAAAATCTAATAATAATATATAATAAATTTTATTATTGATCAAAGAATGAAATTCGCAATAGAAAGCATCTCGAACATTTTTTCGAAACTTATTATATTTTACATGAATATATTTTGTATCGAATATGTATCTATTCGAAAAAATTATTGTTTATTTATTTTTAAGGATAATAATATAATTATTTAAAATAAAAAATATAGTAAAGAAATATAATTTAAGTCTATACATATATATATGTGTACATATATATATTTGGACAGAATTATATATACTTTTGTGTATAGTAATGATAAAATGTTTTACCTAATAATGATATAAATGTTTAATAATGAAATAAATGTTTTATCTATGAACTATTTATTGCATTATTATATTTTTAAAGCTTGAAATGATAATTTTTTCGAATAGTGTTATATTTAAAAATATTAGAACTGATAGATTTTACAGACTTCATTAATGTTTCTTATTTTAAAGATTTGTTTAAAAAAAATAATAATAATAAAAAAATTATTTATAATTGAAATAAATCTCCGAGCGATATATAATTTGTACTATTCATAGATCAATAAGTGAATTATTCAAATTTGACAACATTTTTCTGGCTCGACATTGGATAAGGCGGATTTCATGTAAACGTTTTGCTATCTTGTGAACGATAAATAAAATTCGTTCGGATATCATAGCTCTTACATATTCACGCAACTAAAATAAATTATTTTTTCATTGTAAGTAACAATTTTTTTGCACTATAAGAATATAATGTAACATACTTTCTGATTGTTATCATAAGTAATTTATAAGTATCTACACAGATAAAACATATCTTATATATACATGTATGTATATATATATGTATATATATATATATATATATATATATATATATACATGTAAATGTATCATATATATCATATGTATATATTTTATCTAAAAAGATAAAAAAATTTTATGATAAATAAAAAGATATTGAAATGAATATATATGAATCAAAAAATTTACCTTGTCAAGTTCACTACGAAGCAAAATATCCTCTAAATTATTAGTATCTAAAATGTATCGTTCCATAAGATTATCCGCAAATTCCATAATCTGAAATGAATTATTTCGATATATTCGATAAGTTAATTATTACATAAAAGTCCAATGCGATATAATTCGTCCCATTATAATTAGATCAAGAAATTATGTGCATAGAGAGATAGATGAGATTAATATCGAGATACAAATAAATAAGTATACACAGTACATAGTTTTTTGAAATACCTTGTGTAATTGTGCCTCAGAATATACATGATTAATTATAATAATCAATGCTGTGTACGTATTAATTTCCCTATTAAATCAAAAGCAGATATATTTAAGTGATAAATATCCATATGAATTGTAACAATATATTTACAAAATATATATTTATTTTACCTGGGTTTTACTTTTTCAAAATTTTGCAATATATACTCAAGTATTTCATCGTTCTTTGCATGTCTTATAATCATGGAAAGAAACCTTTTAACACGGTCAATGTCTCGGAAGTTTACAAATATATTTTTCTCAGAAAAATATGTTTTTTTCAGATCTAGATATGCTTGCAAACTTTCTTCATTCAAATATTCTTTGATAGCTATAGGATGTGCAATGCAAGCTAGAAATTCTAAAATTCTGTGATCAGAACCTGACGCCCATTTTTCTAATATTATCGACCAAGTACCGTTTAAATCTTCTTCCATCATTATACCGTTACAGTATGTCCATTGTTTCCACCATGATAAAATTCTAATATACCAAGAGAAGAGTGTATTATACAAATATTTAACATATATATATATATATATATATATATATATATATGCATATAATAAAATATATATAATTGTTTCTAATATATTATTTAGCATACACAAGATACAAAAAAGATATGACTGCACCAGAAAAATTATAAAAAAATTACTTGTCAGAACGCATAACATATTGTTCCAATTTATTTCTGGCCATTTGTATGCATTTAGGATCCTTCAGAACACATGCCCACTTGGCAATTTCTTGTCTTAAACATTTAGTAAGGACATTCTCTTCAGAATATTCTTGATATCCAATGCGTTCAAGGACTCCATTAAATATACCTTTCATGATTTCCTCAAAATTTGTTATATAATTATAATTCTACATTTGGAATAAAGCATCCTTTATATTAACGCAAGAATAATTTACTATTAATATATAATGTTTAACATCTAGAATGTAAAATTGAGGATATGCAAATCTTTTCTTTATAAATTTTCTTTATCTAAATAAAATTATGTAAAAGTGCAACTAAATTTTTTCGTATATGTATATTTTACGAAATTGTTTGACAATTTTGTTTTTTATATATTTTATATGTAATAATCTAATATATATGAAAAACACTTTTATTAATGAAATGTCTGTTATTATTTACCTTGAATAAATCGATATTATCTTCTGTGTCTGATATTGGAAAGATACTTGATATATTTTCAAGAGCTTTGATCATAGGATACCATGCCACAAAATCTGTCTCTTGCGATAAATATTTCACAAGATTCAAAAATGTGTACATATCGAGTTTGCCTGACGACAGGAAATAATAGGCATCGTCGATAATTTGAGCACGATTGAGAACATGTATTTTATCATAGTTTCCAGAGTTCAAATATTTCGCAATATTTTGCCAATTCTTAAGTTCGTATTTAACACGATAATATCCTATGGTACAAACAATACACTTTATGTATTATTAAATCCTTTTATGTAATTTATTAGAAAATATCTATGTAATTTATTAGAAAATATTACCCATTTGTTGTAAGTTAACTATTATCCAGTCACCGATATGGCCTTCTATATCAATATTCATAAACCAAGTAGACTTTGTAGAATTCAACTTTTTCCAATCATGTAAAATTTTCTCAGGATGTATCGTAAAATTTAATATTGTCTGTGTAGTTATAGTTACAGGTATATGCAAATTTTCCATGCCATGATTTTTATTATTTTTTACTGTTATTCTTACATAATGATAAGTAATTTGTTCGTATTGTGCAACCTTTAGAATAGGATAATGTTTTTGTTTTGTCCAAGTATTCATTATTTCTCTTACAATAATTCTATCAATATCAGTTGCATCATGAGCAATTTGCATACTTTCCCAGAAATCATCAATAGATGCCGAACTAAATTTGCTAAATTTATAAAAAATTACAAATGATTGACGATAGACATGATAGAAATTGTATATATTACAGGAAAGCAATTATATATTTTGATATCGACAGATAATTTTGCAGCACATACAACTTAATGTAAATTATTTAAATAATATAATAAGGAAAATGATTTGTGGTAAAAAAGACATATAAAAATGGGAGTAAAACTAGAAGTAGATAGTTGCCCGAAAGAGAAAGAACATAATAATGAAGAAGATTAGAAAATAAAAGAAAAAATTATATATTTTAAAATAGAAAAATTAAAATATTTTATAAAATTTTTAATCTGCATTTAATTTTTATTTTTATAATACGTAACTATTATATTACTCACTGTCTGCTAAGAAATATGTCAATACCCCTTTGGAATACCTGGTCGGTAAGAAAATGTCGCAACATACGCAGTATGACAGGCGCTGCGGTAATGACAAATCATAAAGTACATATAATTAATACTAATATACTAATTTATTCTAGTGCTCATAAATTCATGAAAGCATATCTGTGATTTTATAAAAAATTTTATATTTAAATTCTACTTTCTCTTTTCTTTTCTATGAGACTAATATATGTACATATAAATAAACTGAGGAAAAATTAATTTATATATTTAATTTTTCTAACTTTTTTTCGTAATATTTACGTTCAGGAATTTATGGACAATCTACTTATATGTTGTTATTGTTGTAGTTTGCTTTAGCTTACCTTTGATATGAAAAGAAAAAGAAAAAAGTGAATCAATTTCAGACGTTTTATTGACTTGTAATATAAGAGGCTTCATAATACCCCTTGGAGAATTGTCCAAACGAAGAGATTCTTGTTGAAATTGGACCACGAATAGATCCCATATACGGAGATCTTCAAAATCCTATAAATGAACGTTTTATTATAAAAGTTTGAACCAAATAATCAGTAATTTTCAAAGAAAAAAAATATTTTTAATAGAAAGAGAGAGCTCGTATATGTATACTTTTTGTATTAAAAAAATAACAATAATTGTTTACAATTACTGCACTAAAATGGTTTTTCTTATTTTTTATTAAATGTAGGAAAATATAGTAGAATTTTTCTATAATGATATATGTGCGACTAATTATCTGAGATTATAGATAATATTATAAAAAAATTTTTTTTATTTTTAAATTAATACGTATCATATTTTAAATTTAATTAAATCATTCTTTTTACTTTAGATTTTTTATAAAATTAAAAAACTTAAACAATTAAAATCTATGATCTTAATAAATTTGCAACAAATTTTTTCATTATCAATTTTAATACATAATAATATAAATAATAATTTTTTTATTGTATATAATAAAAAAACATTATATGTAATCAGATAAAGAAATCACCTTATTGATGACATCTGTTCCCAGCAATGTAGCAATACCCTCGTTCAACCAATAATCAGGCCAATGAGCTGGGCTGATCAGATTATCAAACCATTGATGTACCAGTTCGTATCCTATTCTACGTATTACATCCAATTTGTGTATATCAGAATCTAATTCATCATTGTAGAAAATAGTTGCATCTCTAAAAAACCATGTAATGTGAATATGTAAAGTTTTTATTAAGTCTAATGTTTAATGATTTTTCATGTATTCCAATTATTATACTTTAATACTTTAATATATTTATACCTATAAAGATATTTATACCTATAAAGATATATTTATACCTTTAATATATTTATACCTATAATATATTTATACCTATAAAGATATTTATACCTATAAAGAATAAGTTTCTTGGTGATATTATTTTGACTGTCTAAAATGATATGATGATACATATTTGAAATATCTTTAAAATATTTCCATCTTTCGAGGTTCATTGTGATAAGTTGAGTGACATTATCTGCAAACACTGTTTCTTGGATATATTGCTGTTCGAATTGTGAGTCGAAAGGGAACTTATCATATATTACAAACAACACGAGGTAAGTAGATATTAAAGGAGTGGTTTCGAACTTTGTCGAGAGTACGTATTTAACATTAGTTATATTAATTGCCTTATGTTCTATCGGCATGTTTGACAAAATCATATAGTTTTCATAATGTTTAACTGAGATTTTAAATGTCGCTTTTAATCTTGGTTCGTCCCAACATGGAAACAATTGTCGAGCTCCAATTGCTTGGAATGGTGTTGCGATAAACCATCTATCACATTTTAATAGCATATTTCATATAATAAGAAATACAATTCAATCATCATTATAAGTTACTTTAAGTTTGCATTAAAAATTATTCTTAATAATGTAATAATGTAATTCACTAAAAAAAAACGGATATATATATATATATATATATATATATATATATATCCGTTTTTTTATTGAATTACATTATTAAGAATAATTTCAATATATTTTACTATAGATATTTTTATTACAGTATATTCAACATTTACTCACGCTTTATTTCTATTTGAGTATGCGTAGGCAATTCTCAAGAAACTTTCACCATCATCCGCGTAATTGATGAAGTTCATCATTAATGTATAATTTCCAATTGATAATTGTTCATTAAAGTGAAAGACGAGAATATGAGTTTCATTGTTATATATAGTATTTGCTGGTTTATAATAATAATAATAATAATTAAGTTCTAATTTCAATCTACCGATGAGGGTAACATCCTGTATTTTTATTTGCGGCTTTCTTGCGTGCAAACTTATGTATCTCGTTGGACGAGTAATCTTAATATTGACATTGCATTCACCGTAGATATTTCTGAACCGATTTCCTTCTTTGTCAAAATGTGTTAGATCCAGCAAGATATCATAATGCTCTGGTATATAAGCCGGTAATTCAACTGGTATGTTCACTTTGTAATCGGAGTTAAGTAAATGACCTATTGCGTTTATTATTAAGCTGCTATTTAATAACAATTTTAATAACAGTCTCCCCATGTCAAGTTTTTCGCTTCAGATATATGATGATTTATTGCTTTATTTAAATAAAATATAACCATAAATGAAATACAATGCAGAGCTTCTTATATTGAATGCATTTTTTGAATGAAAAATAACGAGAATGAATACAAAAATGTTTTAAATATATCAATTTTTATTAAACAGAGCTAATTAAGAGAAAGCTTAATAGACTTTATTATTACATACAATATATGTTAATCTATAGGCTATATCTATATGCTATATCTTACGAATTAAACTCAATTTAATCGTTATATAATATATAAGATATATATACATATATATATATATATATTTATATGTTTATATATATATATATATATATATATATATATTTCTTTTTTTCTTTAATGACTTACCTTATCTATTGAAATTGTATGCAAATTGAAGTGTAATCTTTTTTTGGAATGTAAATTGCAATTAACACATTATTATCATAGATTGTTAGTGCCAGAAGATATCGCACAATTACAATCTTTTTCTTGGAAAGACCACCGAAATCTAACGACAATCTTGGTACTTATCATATCTTATAAACAAGCTCTAAAGTCAATAATTGTGTTTTGCCACTTCACAGACACATTCAAATATCAAAACATGTAACGGAATATATTTACATATTTATTTGCTTCCAAATTTAACATATTTTAGCAGACTTGCGTGCTTTACATCTCTGTCTTCTTCAGATCATTAAAAAATTTTATAAAGTATTTATAAAATTACCTACCTAATTGTTTGGTAAACACATTGTTACAGTTTTGTTTGCTTCAAAAACACATTGATGATTTTTTAATTAAATTATCATAATTACATTATTTATCTTGTGTTTATCACAGATAAAAGCTGAAAGTGAGCACAAACGAAAGCTCGACTTATACATAGTACATTTCTCCCTCGCCTGATCTTCGAGGGAAATCGCAAGAGACTTTTAATTTTTAACTCCAAATATAAAATGTATTATGATAAATCAGAAATTTTTGAATTATAAATATGTATAAAATAGATAATATAAGAATTTGTGCTATGCAATTTTTATATATTGTATTTATATTATAAATATCATAAGAGAGATGCGAACATATAATATAATTTTAACATTAATACAAATTAACGATTAATAATATTACACATAATATTAAATCTTAATTAATAATAATCTTAAATGTTACATTAATATTAATAATATTAAATGTTAAATTATTTAATATATCATTAGTCAATATATTACTGTAACAATATAACAATATATATAATTTTTTATGTTAAGCTATAAAAATCTAATAATAATATAAATAAATTTCATTATTGATCAAAGAATGAAATTCGCAATAAAAAGCATCTCGAAGATTTTTTCGAAATTTATATTTTACATGAATATATTTTGTATCGAATATATATCTGTTCGAAAAAAATTATTGTTTATCTATTTTTAAGGATAATAATATAATTATTTAGAATAAAAAATATAGTAGAGTATTATAGAGAAATATAATTTAAGTCTACATATGTATATATATATATATATATATATATATATATATATACATATGGAACGAACTTATTTGCCAACCTAATATGTACATATATCTATTTGGACAGAATTATATATACTTTATATTTTGTCCTTATATAATAATGATAAAATGTTTTACATCTATGAACTATTTCTTTGCATTATTATATTTTTAAAGCTTGAAATGATAATTTTTTCGAATAGTTTTATATTTAAAAATATTAGAACTGATAGATTTTACAGACTTTGTTAATATTTCTTATTTTAAAGATTTGTTTGAAAGAATAAAAATAATAAAAAAATTATTTATAATTGAGATAGATCTCCGAGCGATATATAATTTGTACTATTCATAGATTAATTTAAATGTAATATTCAAATTTGACAACATTTTTCTGGCTCGATTTTGGATAAGCTCGATTTCATTTAAACGTTTTCCTATCTTACGACGGATAAAACCAATTTGTTTGGATATAATAGTTCTCATATATTCATGTATCTAAAATAAGTTATTTTTTCATTGTCAATAAATAACAATTTTTTGCACTATAAGAATATAATATACTTTCTGATATACATACTTTCTGATTTTTATCGTAGGATAAACAAATTATTTATAATATTATATTTATATTATTTATTACGGAGTACGGATTACGGAGTTTGCGGATAATCTTATGGGACAATATATTTTAGATACTAATAATTTAGAGAATATTTTCGTAGTGAACTTCACAAGGTAAATTTTTTGATTCAGATATATTCATTTCAATATCGTTTTATTTATCATAAAATTTTTTTATCTTTTTAGATAAATATATACATATGATATATATGATACATTTACATGTATATATATATATATATATATATATATATATACATACATACATATATATATACATGTAAATGTATCATATATATCATATGTATATATTTTATCTAAAAAGATAAAAAAATTTTATGATAAATAAAAAGATATTGAAATGAATATATCTGAATCAAAAAATTTACCTTGTCAAGTTCACTACGAAGCAAAATATCTTCTAAATTTTTAGTGTATATATATATATATATATATATATATATATATATATATATATATATATTATATGTATATATTTTATTTAAAAAGAGATAAAAAATTTTACGATAATTAAAAACAGATATTGAAATGGATATAATATTTGAATCAAAATTTACCTTGTCAAGTTCAGTGTCTAGCAAGATGCTCGGTAAGATGTTCGTTAAATTATTAACATTTGAAATGTATTGCTTTATTAAACTATCGACGAACTTTATAATCTAAAATGAATTATTTCGATATTTACTGTCAGCAAAATAAATTAATTATTACACGAAAGTATAATGCGATATAATTTTTTCTTCCCAATATAATTAGATCAAAAAATTATGTATACATAGAGATAGATAGAATTAATATCTAGATATAAATAAATAAGTATACAATATATAGTTTTTCAAAATACCTTCTGCAGTTGTGCCTCAGAATACACATGATTAATTATAATAATCAATGCTGTGACCATATTAATTTCTCTATAAAACCAAAACAGCAGATATGTACACATTTGCATGATAAATATCTATATGAATTGTGAGAAATATTTACGAAACATATATTTATTTTACCTGGGTTTTATTTTTTTTAAATTTTGCAATATACATTCAAGTATTTTATCGTTCTTTGCATGCTTCATAATGGAAAGAAATTTTTTAACACTGTCAGTGTCTTGGAAGTTTACAAATATATATTTCTGCGAAGAATGTCTTTTGTGATCTAGATCTGGCTGTAAGCTTTCTTTATTCAAATGTTCTTTGATGGAAGTTAGAAAATTTAAAATTTTATGATCAAAACTAAACACTCTTTTTAATATTAACGAACAAGAACCGTTTAAATATTTTTCTATTAGTATACCGTTGTTGTATGTCCAGTGTTTCCACCACGGTGAAACTCTATATACCAAGAGAAAAATTTATTACACAAATGTTTAGAAAAAAAAATATATATATGTGTGTGTGTGTGTAATAATAATATATATATATATATATATATATATATATATATATATAATTGTTTCTATACATATAATATATTATTCTAATATATTTCTAATATATTAGCTAAAATATATTAGCTCTAATATTTAGCATGCATTGCACAAGATACAAAGAAGATATGACTACACCAGGAAATTAAAAAAAATTTACTTGTCAGAACGCATAATATGTTGTTCCAATTTATTTCTGGCCATTTGTATGCATTTAGGATCCTTCAGAACACATGCCCACTTGGCAATTTCTTGTCTTAAACATTTAGTAAAGACATTCTCTTCAAAATATTCTTCATATCCAATGCGATCAAGGACTAAATTAAATATACCTTTCATGATTTCCTAAAAATTTGTTATATAATTATAATTCTACATTTGGAATATTGTGTTCCATATATTTTTTATTTATAATAAAAAAGTATAACTAAAAAATATTAATAACTTATTAAAAAATTAAATAATAAAAAAAATTGTTTTTTAATACGTAATATGTTTTTACAAAATATTTTACAAATTTTATAAATTCTAGATTTTTTGTAAAATGTTTCATAATAAATTTTTGAGTAACAATATACGGAGGTCGTTTGATAAGTTTGGTAAATTTTCGTGAAATTGCGTCACAATCCATTTGGTGACGCCTCATCAGCCTACTTTTCCGAAGGTATTAAAAAATTGGAAATTTGATGGACTAAGTGTATAGACCTCGATGGAGACTATATTAAGAAATTACATAAATTTTTTCAAAAATAACGTGTTTTATTTTTTACCAAACATCAAACGACCCTCGTATATAACGAAAGTAATCGATAAGTATTCTTTTTAATAGATTGTTTTCTTTCAAAATTGGATGTAACTTTTTAATTAGTATGTAATTATTATTTCTATTATTCATTTAAAGCATTCTTTATATTAACGCAAGAATAATTTACTATTAATATATAATGTTTAACATCTAGAATGTAAAATTGAGGATATGCAAATCTTTTCTTTATAAATTTTCTTTATCCAAATAAAATTATGTAAAAGTGCAACTAAATTTTCTTATATATGTATATTTTACGAAATTGTTTGACAATTTTGTTTTTTATATATTTTATATGTAATAATCTAATATATAATATATGAAAAACACTTTTATTAATGAAATGTCTGTTATTGTTTACCTTGAATAAATCGATATCTTCTGTGTCTGATATTGGAAAGATACTTGACATATTTTCAAGAGCTTTGATCATAGGATACCATGCCACAAAATCTGTCTCTTGCCATAAGTATTTCGCAAGATCCAAAAATGTATACATATCGAGTTTGCCTGACGACAGGAAATAATAGGCGTCGTCGATAATTTGAGCACGATTGAGAACGTGTATTTTACTATAGTTTCTAGAGTTCAAATATTTCGCAATATTTTGCCAATTTTTAAGTTCGTAATTAACACGATAATATCCTATGGTATAAACAATACACTTGATGTATTATTAAATCTTTTTATGTATTAGTAATTTATTAGAAAATATTTATACCAATTTGTTGTAAGTTAGCTATTATCCAGTCACCGATATGGCCATCTGTAGCAATATCCATAAACCAAGTAGAATTTGACTTTTTCCAATTATAGAAAAATTTCCAAGGATGTATCGTAAAATTTGATATCGTCTGTGTAGTTATAGTTACAGGTATGTGCCAATGATTTTCAATATTTTCTACTGTTATTCTTACATAATGAAAATTAGTGTAATCGTATATTTGTGCAACCTTTAAAATAGGATAATGTTTTTGCTTTGTCCAAGCATTCATTATTTCTCTTACGATAATTTTTTCCATATTAGTTGCATTATGAGCACTTTGCATGCTTTCCCAGAAATCATCAATAGATGCCGAACTAAATTTGCTAAATTTATAAAAAATTACAAATGATTGACGATAGACATTATAGAAATTGTATATATTACAGGAAAGCAATTATATATTTTGATATGTACAGATAATTTTGTAGCACATACAACTTAATGTAAATTATTTAAATAATATAATAAGGAAAATGATTTGTGGTAGAAAAGACGTATAAAAATTGGAACAAAAATAGAAGCAGATAGCCCGAAAGTGAAGAACATAATAATGAAGACTAGGAAATAAAAGAAAAAAATTATATATTTTAAAACAGGAAAATTCAAAATATTTTATAAAATTCTTAATCTCCATTACAACCTTCATTTTTATAATATGTAATTATTATATTACTCACTGTTTGCTAAGAAATATCTCAATACCATTTTGAAATACCTGGTCGGTAAGAAAATGTCGCAACATACGTAGTATGACAGGTGCTGCGATAATGACAAATCATAAAATACGTCTACAATTAAATAATAATTTATTCTAGTGCCCATAAATTCATAAAAGCGTATCTATAATTTTATAAAAAACTTTAAATTTTATATTTAAATTCTACCTTTTCTTTTCTTTTTTATGAGATTAATATACATATAAATAAACTGAGGAAAAATTAATTTATATATTTAATTTTTCTAACTTTTTTCATGTTATTTACGTTCAGAAATTTATGGACAATCTACTTATGTGTTATTATGTTATTGTTGTAGTTGCTTTATTTTACCTTTAATATGAAAAGAAAAGGAAAAAAGTGAATCAATTTCAGATGGTTTATTGATTTCTGATCTAAGAGGTTTCATAACACCTTCTGTAAAATTGTCCAATCGAAGAGATTCTTGTTGAATTTGAACCACGAATAGATCCCACATACGGAGATCTTCAGAACCCTATAAATGAACGTTTTATTATAAAAGTTTGAATCGAATAATCAATAGTTTCAAAAGGAAGAAAATATTTTTAATAAAGAAGCTCGTGTATATTTTTCGTATTAAATAACGATAATTGTTTATTGCAGTGAAATGGTTTTTTTATTTTCTATGAAGTGTAAAAAATATAGCAGAAATTTCCTGAAATGATATATATGCAATGCGAATTAATTATCTGAGATTATAAATATTATTACAAAAAATGATATTTTATTTTTAAATTAATACGTATCGTATTTTGAATTTAATTAAATCATTCTTCATATTTAAGATTTTTTATAAAATAAAAAAAATTTATACAATCAAAGTTATGATTGTAATGAATTCAGAACAAACTTTTTTGTTGTCAATTAATTTCTAATATATAATAATGAAATAATAATTTTTTTATTGTGTATAATCAACAAACATTATATATAAACAGATAAAGAAATCACCTTATTGATGACATCTGTTCCCAGTAATATAGCAATACCTTCGTTCAACCAATAGTCAGACCACCAGGATGGACTGATCAGATTATCAAACCATTTATGTACTAGTTCGTATCCTATTGTACGTGTTACGTCCAATTTGTGCATATCAGGATCTAATTCATCGTTATAGAAAATTGTTGCATCTCTAAAAAATCATTGTAATGCAAATACGTAAAGTTTTTATTAATCTTAATGTTTAATGATTTTTTATGTATTCCAATTATTATATAATACTTTAATACTTTAATATACTTATGTATTACCTGTAAAGAATAAGTTTCTTGGCGATATTATCATGACTATCTAAATTGACATTATACATATCTGAAATATTTTCAGAATATTTCCATTTCTTTAAAAAATTTATTGTGATAAAGTGAGTGACATCATCTGCAAACACTGTTTCTTGAATATATTGCTCGTGGAACTGTGGGTTACGAGGGTACATATCATATATTACAAACAACACGAGGTAAGTGGATATTAAAGGAGTGGTTTCGAATTTTGTCAAGTGTACGTTTTTATCATTTCCATTTGCAGTTTCTCCCGGCATGTTTGATAAAATCATGTACTTTGCATAATGTTTAATAGAGATTTTAAATGTCGCTTTTAATGCTGGTTCATCCCAACATGGAAACAATTGTCGAGCCCCAATTGCTTGGAATGGTGTTGCGATAAACAACCTACCACATTTTAATAGAGAGCATATCTCATATAACAAGAAATATTCAACCATCATTGAAAGTTATTTTAAAGTATAGCAGAAAGTTATTTGCATTAAAAGTTATTCTTAATATTGTAATTCACTAAAAAAATGAATATATATATATATATATATATATATATGTATATATATATATATATATATATATATATATATATATTTGTTTTTTTTTAGTGAATTACATTATTAAGAATAATTATTTCAATGTATTTTATTCAAAGCTAGATACATTTTATTTCAGTATATTCAAAATTCACTCACCCTTTATGTTTATATGAGTTTGCGTAGGCAATTTTCAAGAAACTTTCACCATTATCCGCGAAACTGATGAAGCTCATCTTTAATGTATAATATCCAATTGTTAATTGATCATTAAAGTGAAAGACGAGAATATGAGTTTCACTGTTATATGTAGCATTTGTCGGTTCATAAAGTTCTAATGACGATATATTGGTGAGGATAGCATTCTGTACTTCTATTTGCGGCTTTTTCGCATGCAAACTTATATATTTCGTTGAACTAGTAATCTTAATATTGACATTGCATGTGCCGGAGATATTTTTGAACAGAATTCCTTCTGTGTCAAAATGTGTTAGATCCAGCTGGATGTCATAATGCTCTGGTATAATATAATCAGGTAAACGGAATCCAACTGGCATGTCTACTTTGTAATCTGAGTTAAATAAATGACCTATTGCGTTTATTATTAAGCTGCTATTTAATAACAGTTTTAACAACAGTCTCCACATATCAAGTTTTTGGTTTTTGTTGCTTTATTAAAAAAAAATATAAACGTAAATGAAATACATTGCAGAGCTTCTTATATTGGATGTATTTTTTGAATGAAAAATAACGAGAATGAATACAAAAATATTTCAAATATATCAATTTTTATTAAACAAAGCTAATTAGGAAAAAGTTGAATAAACTTTATTATTACACACGATATGCTATATGTTAATCTTATGAATTAAATTCTATTTAATTGTTATATAATATATAAGACATATATATGTATATATATATATATATACATATAGGTCTTATATAGAAATAAGAAAAGAAATATATATATATATTTCTTTTCTTCCTAATGACTTACCTTACTCTATTGAAAATCTATGCAGATTGAAGTGTAATCCTTTGTTGAAATGTGAACTGCAATTAACACATTATTATCATGGATTGTTAATGCCAGAAATAAATATCGCACAATTACAATCTTTCTCTTTCGAAAGGCTACTGAAATCTAACGACAATCTTGGTACTTGCCATGTCTTATAAGAAAGCTCTAAAGTCATCAATAATTGTGTTTTCTTACTGCACGGACACATTCAAATATCAAAATATGTAACGGAATATATTTACATTGCTTCCAAATTTAACGTATTTTAACAGACTTGCGTACTTTGCATCTCTGTCTTTTTCAGATCATTAAAAAATTTTATGAAGAATTTATAAAATTGTGTGTCTAATTGTTTGGTAGATACATTGCTACAGTTTTGTTTGCTTCAAAAACACATTGATTTCTTAATTAAATTATCATAATCACGCTATTTATCTTGTGTTTATCAGAGATAAAAGCTGAAAGAGCGAGCAGAAATGAAAGCTTTCGCGAAAGCTTGATTTATACATAGCACATTTCTTTCTCGTCTTTTTTGAGAGAAATCATGAGAAACTTTAATTTTTAACATATTAAATACAAATACATTATGATAAATCAGAAATTTTTGAATATAAAAAAGTATAAAAAAGATAATAATATAAGAATTAGGCTATATAATTTATATATTGTATTTACATTATAAATTACAAAAGAGATGCGAACATATAATAATAATTTTAACATTAACACAAATTGACGATTAGTAATATTGTATATAAATGTTGTAGCATTAGTCAATTTAACAATATATAATATAACAATATAACATTATAATATTATAACAACATAATAACATCTAATTTTTTAATGTTGTTAAGAATATGCATAATATTATATAATAAATTTTATCATTGATTACAGAATGGAATTCGCAAAAACTTCTCGAAGACTTTTTTCGAAACTTATATTTCTTATATGAATACATTTTGTATCGAATATGTATAATTTGAAATAAATTATTGTTCATTTATCTTTAAGGATAGTAATATAATTATTTAGATTAAAATACATCATACAGAAATATAATTAAATCTATATATATATTTTTTTTGACAGAATTATGTACACTTTATTTTGTCTATATAGTAATGATAAAATGTTTTATATATATAATAAACTATTTTTTAGCATTATTATATTTTTAAAGCGTGAAATGATAATTTTTTCGAATAGTTTTATATTCTAAAAAATTATAATTGATAGATTTTAGAGACTTTATTAGTGTTTTTTTATCTTAAAGATTTGTTAAAAAAATAATAAAAACAATGACTTATAATTGAGATAGATTTCCAAGCGATACAATTTGTACTATTTATAGATTAATAAAAGAATCATTCAAATTTGACAACTTTCCTCTGACTGTATTTCAGATGAATTTCGTGATTTCAAAAAAGCGTTTTCTTATCTTGCGACGAATAAACGAAATTCGTTCAGATATAACAGCTCTTGCATATACCTAAAATAAATTACTTTTACACTTACTGTCAATAAATAACAATCTTTTTGGACTATAAGAATATACTTTCTGATTTTATTATAGGATAAATAAATTATTCCATTATTTTATTATAAATATTTTATAACAAATAAAAGATATTGAAATGAATATAATATCTGAATCACACAAAATTTACCTTGTAAAATTTATTAGGGAAGAAAATATTCGCCAAACGATTAGTATTTAAAATATTTCGTTTTACAAGATTATCCACGAAATTTGTAATCTAAAATGAATTATTTCGATATTTATTCAGTTAAAATGAATTCGATATTTACTTCAACAAAATAAGTTAATTGTACACCAAAGGCTAATGCGATATAATTCTTTTTTCCAGTATAATTAGATTAAAAGACATTATGTACATAGAAAGATAGATGCGATTAATATCGAGATACAAATAAATAAGTATACATAGTTTATTCAAAATACCTTCTGTAGTTGTATCTTAGAATACACATGATTAATTATAATAACCAATGCTGTGTACATATTAATTTCCCTATAAAACCAAAATAGCAGATATAAACACATTTACGTAATACATATCTATGAATTGTGAGAATATATTTATTTTTATTCAAACATATAATTATTTTACCTGGGTTTTACTTTTATAAAATTTTGCAATATATATTCAAGTATTTCATCGTTCTTTGCATGTCTCATAATTATAGAAAGAAATCTTTTAACACGGTCAATGTTTCGAAAGTTTATAATTATATTTTTCTGAGAAAAATATGTTTTTTTGAGATATGCTTGTAAACTTTCTTCATTCAAATATTCTTTGATGAATGTAGGATGTGCAACGCAAGTTAAAAATTCTAAATTTCTATGATCAGAACCTGACGCCCATTTTTCTAATATTATCGACCAAGTATGGTTTAAATTTTTTTCCATCATTATACCGTTACAATATGTCCATTGTTTCCACCACGGTAAAACTCTATATAATATATCAAGAGAAAAATTTATTACACAAATATTTAGAAAAAATATATATATGTATATAATAAAATATAATAACGTAAAATATAATAATAGTATAATTATTTTTAATATATTATTTAGCATGCATTGTACAAGATACAAAAAAGACTGCAACAGAAAGATGATAAAAAAAGTACTTTTCAGAATGGATAATATGTCGTTCCAATTTATTTTTGGCCATTTGTATGCATGTGGGGTCCTTGAAAATGCATGCCCATTTGGCAACTTCTTGTCTTAAACATTTAGTAAGGACATTTTCTTCAGAACGTTCTTCATATCCAAGGCGTTCAAGGACTCCATTAAATATTTCTCTTATGAAAAATTTCTTTCATAAAAAAATTTTTATTAATAAATAATATGCCTTTAAAAAATATTTCACAAATTTTACAAATTTTAGATTCTTTGTAACATATTTTAATAAATTTTTTAAGAACAGTATATTTATAACAAAAGTAATCGATAAGTATTCTTCTATAATAGATTGTTTTCTCTTACAACTGGATGTAACTTTTTTAAAATTAGCATGTAATTATTATTTCTACATTCATTTAAAGCACTCTTAATATTAACGCAAAAATAATTTAATTATTAACATATAAACTATTAACATATAATGTTTAATATCTAGAATGTAAAATTGAGGATATGCAAATTTCTTTTTTATAAATTTTCTTTATCCGAAAAAAATTATGTAAAAGTGCAACTAAATTTTCTCGTATATGTATATTTTACGAAATTGTTTGACAATTTTGTTTTTTATATATTTTATATGTAATAATCTAATATATATGAAAAACACATTTATTAATAAAAAGTCTGTTATTATTTACCTTGAATAAATCGGCATTTTCTTTTATGTCCGATGTTAGAAAGATACTTGACATATCTTCAAGAGCTTTGATCATAGGATACCATGCCACAAAATCTGTCTCTTGCGATAAGTATTTCGCAAGATCCAAAAATGTAGACATATCGAGTTTGCGTGATGACAAGAAATAATAAGCATCGTCGATAATTTGAGCACGATTGAGAACATGTATTTTATTATAGTTTCCAGAGTTCAAATATTTCGCAATATTTTGCCAATTTTTAAGTTCGTAATTAACGCGATAATATCCTATGGTATAAACAATACACTTTATGTATTATTAAATTCTTTTATGTATTAGTAATTTATTAGAAAATATTACCAATTTGTTGTAAGTTAGCTATTATCCAGTCATCGATATGGCCATCTGTAGCAATATCCATAAACCAAGTAGAATTTGACTTTTTCCAATTATAGAAAAATTTCCAAGGATGTATCGTAAAATTTGATGTAGTCTGCGTAGTTATAGTTACAGGTATGTGCCAATGATTTTCAATATTTTCTACTGTTATTCTTACATAATGAAAATTTGTGTAATCATATATCTGTGCAACCTTTAAAATAGGATAATGTTTTTGCTTTGTCCAAGCATTCATTATTTCTCTCACAATAATTCTTTCCATATTAGTTGCATTATGAGCACTTTGCATGCTTTCCCAGAAATCATCAATAGATGCCGAACTAAATTTGCTAAATTTATAAAAAATTACAAATGATTGATGTTAAACATTATAGAAATTGTATAGATTACAGGAAAGCAATTATATATTTTGATATGTACAGATAATTTTGCAGCACATACAACTTAATGTAAATTATTTAAATAATATAATAAAGAAAATGATTTGTGGTAGAAAAGACATATAAAAATTGGAATAAAAATAGAAGCATATAGTTGCCCGAAAATGAAGAACATAATAACAAAGACTAGGAAATAAAAGAAAAAATTATATATTTTAAAATAGGAAAATTCAAAATATTTTATGAAATTCTTAATCTCCATTACAACTTCCATTTTTATAATACGTAATTATTATATTACTCACTGTTTGCTAAGAAATATCTCAATACCCCTTTGGAATACCTGGTCGGTAAGAAAATGTCGCAACATACGCAGTATGACAGGTGCTGCGATAATGACAAATCATAAAATACGTCTACAATTAAATAATAATTTATTCTAGTGCCCATAAATTCATAAAAACGTATCTATAATTTTATAAAAAACTTTAAATTTTATATTTAAATTCTATCTTCTCTTTTCTTTTCTATGAGATTAATATACATATAAATAAACTGAGGAAAAATTAATTTTTCTAACTTTTTTTATGTTATTTACGTTCAGAAATTTATGAACTATTTAATTATGTGTTATTATTGTTGTAGTTGCTTTATCTTACCTTTAATATGAAAAGAAAAAGAAAAAAGTGAATCAATTTCAGACAGTTTATTGATTTCTGATGTAAGAGGCTTCATAATATCTCTTGGAGAATTGTCGAAACGAAGGGCTTCTTGTTGAATTTGAACCATGAATAGATCCCACATACGGAGATCTTCAAAATCCTATAAATGTTTTATTATAAAAGTTTGAACCAAATAATCAATAGTTTTAAAAAGAAGAAAATATTTTTAATAGAAAAAGAGAGCTCGTATATATACTTTTTGTATTAAATAACAATAATTGTTTACAATTATTGCACTAAGATGGTTTTCTTATTTTTTATTGAGTGTAGGATAATATAGTAGAGTTTTTCCGTAATGATATACGTGCCACTAATTATCTGAGATTATAGATATTATTACAAATAAATATGCTTTTTTATTTTTAAATTAATACGTATCGTATTCTTCATTTTAGAGAATTTTTATAAAATTTAAAAGTTTAAACATAATCAAAATTTGTGATCTTAATGAATTTACAACAAACTTATTCATTGTCAATTAATGTTCCTTTTAATATATATAATCAAAAAAGCAATATATGTAATCAAAGAAACAACCTGATTGATGACATCTGTTCCCAGCAATATAGCAATACCCTCGTTCAACCAATAGTCAGGCCAATGGACTGGGCTGATCAGATTATCAAACCATTGATGTACCAGTTCATATCCTATTCTACGTATTACATCCAATTTGTGTATATCAGAATCTAATTCATCATTGTAGAAAATAGTTGCATCTCTAAAAAACCATTGTAATGTGAATATGTAAAGTTTTTATTAAGTCTAATGTTTAATGATTTTTCATGTATTCCAATTATTATATACTTTAATACTTTAATACTTTAATATACTTATACCTGTAAAGAATAAGTTTCTTGGTGATATTATTTTGACTGTCTAAAATAATATGATGATACATATTTGAAATATCTTTAAAATATTTCCATCTTTTGAGGTTCATTGTGATAAGTTGGGTGACATTATCTGCAAACACTGTTTCTTGGATATATTGCTGTTCGAATTGTAGGTCGAGAGGGAACTTATCATATATTACAAACAAGACGAGGTAAGTAGATATTAAAGGAGTGGTTTTAAATTTTGTCAAGAGTTCATGCTTAACATCATTAGTTACATGTTCTATCGGCATGTTTGATGCAGCTATATACCTTGCATAATGCTTAACAGAGATTTTAAATGTCGCTTTTAATCCTGGCTCGTCCCAACATGGAAACGATTGTCGAGCTCCAATTGCTTGGAATGGTGTTGCGATAAACCACCTACCACATTTTAATAACATATCTCATATAACAAGAAATATTTCAATCAGCATTAAAAGTTATTGGCATTAAAAATTGTAATAAAATATAAGCTTAGATGATATACATGTATATATATATATATATATATATATATATATATATGTATATATATATCCGTTGTTTTTTAGTGAATTATATTATTAAGAATAATTTTTCAATGTATTTTACTGTAGATACTTTTTATTACAGTATATTCAACATTTACTCACGCTTTATTTTTATTTGAGTTTGCGTAGGTAATTCTCAAGAAACTTCCATCATCATTCGGAAAGCTGGTGAAGTTCATCATTAATGTATAATTTCCAATTGATAATTGATCATTAAAGTGAAAGACGAGAATATGAGTTTCACTGTTATATGTAGCATTTGTTGGTTTATAAAGTTTTAATGACGATATATTGGTGAGGATAGCATTCTGTACTTCTATTTGCGGCTTTTTTGCGTGCAAACTTATATCTTTTGTTGGACGAATAATGTTAATATCGACATTGCATATCCCGAAGATATATTTGAATAGATTTCCTTCTGCGTCAAAATATGTCAGATCGAGCTGGATATCATAATGCACTGGTATAATATAGTTCGGTAAACGGAATTCTGGCTTGGGCTCATCGTTGTTAAAAAAAGAGTCGAAGTTAAATAAAAAAGCTATTGTGTTTATGAATAAGCAGCTGTTTAATAACAGGTTCAACAACAATCTCCCCATGTCAAGTTTCTTGTTTCAAGTATCTGTAATATTTCTTTATTTAAAAAAATTATAAGCGTAAATGAAATATAATGCAGAGCTTTTTATATTGATTGTATTTTTTAATGAAAAATTACGATGAATACATAATCAATTTCTATTAAACAAAGCTAATTAGGAAAAAGCTTAATAGACTTTATTATTACACACGATATGCTATACTATATTAACCTTATGAATTTAACTAAATTTAATTGTTATATAATATATAAGATAAATATTTTTTTTTCTAATGACTTACCTTATCTATTGAAATTCTATGCAGATTGAAGTATAATTCTTTGTTGAAATATAAACTGCAATTAACACATTATTATATTATTAAGAAATATTTCAGAAGTATATATCGCACAATTACAATCTTTCTCTTTCGAAAGGCCATTGAAATCTGATGACGATCTTAATACTCGGCATGTCTTAAAAACAAGCTCTAAGGTCGTCAATAATTATGTTTTCCGAATTCAGACAAATATCAATACGTAACGGAATATTTACATTGCTTTCAAATTTAACGTATTTTAAAAGATTTGCGTGTTTTACATCTCTGTCTTTTTCAAATCATAAAAATTTTTTGAAGAATTGATACATGTCTAATTTTTTGAAGAATTGATACATGTCTAATTGTTTGTCAAGCGTATTCTTACACTTCTGTTTGCTTCACACACTAATATGATTTCTTAATTAAATTATCATAATCACTATTTATCGTGTGTTTTTCAGAGACGCGTGAAAGCTTCCGCGAAAGCTCGATTTATACGTAGTGCATTTCTCCCTCGCATGATCTCCGAGAGAAATCGCGGAAGACCCTTAACTCTCAACACCATAAATTCAGGCCGCGTAGCGTCATTAGCACCGAATAACGAGGCTCGTGTTGTGGTTGCTCCAGCTGGAGTCCCGATCATGGGTTTGAAATAACGAAACCGACGCAACCACGTCACATTCCTGGAGATCCCGAAATAAAATCCCCCTAAATGCGGTTCATTTGCACAGAGATTCCAAGACTCATCGCGCAAATATTTGTCATTATTTTTTCGCAATTTTTTTCATATCTGAAATCGTTTATTATAATTTTTAAGAATTGGTTAAAAGTAATTACTCGAAGACATTTATTTACTTTCGCACTTTCGTGGGAAACCAATTAAAAATAAAAAAAATATGTATATGTATTTTCAAGAATCTTGTATAATGAGGTGGATGACTCATATTTGCAAAGAAACATCGCTTATGATTTCGTAAAATTTATTTTCGCTATGTTTGGTTTTCCGAAGTATACTGTTTTATATGTTATGTTTTACATAATTCAAAACTAGATCAAAGCATATACGTTCATGGCCATTTTCCTTCTCCTCTGTCGCTCTCTCCGTTGCAACCTTTGTTCCTTTTTACGTACAAGTTGAAAAATTGAAAATTTATCGATAACTAAAATGCAACAATAAACAAAATTTTAGATAAAGTACTTGTGCTAAAAATAACATGATATTTATGAAATTTCTTTTTTTATTTTTTTAGGATAGAAATGTTTATGAAAATAATCGTTAATATAAACATCACAAATACATGTGCTATCGCAAATAATTTTGTTGTTATTAGATATTAAAAAAATATATAAATAATACACACTTTTTTCTTTACTATATTTTATTTTATTTATTTTTATTTATTACTTACATTTTATTTTATTTTATTTTTACGATGAGTTTTTACTTTTAAGGTAAATTCAGAGAATAAAGAAAATTCAAAGGCAATAGATAAAATTCAAAAACAATTTATACAAATAAAAAATAATAATAATTAATAACTTAATCGTAAGATAAAGCAGCTAAAATATATGAATGACATAACGCATGTTGTATAGTAGTTGTTTATGAAAATGTATTTTTAAGGCTGTCTGTCATACGTCTAGATAAGCAAAAATACTTTAATGTAGAGATTGTGCATGCTAAAGCGAAGGACGATGATGCAGCAAGAATGAGTCGATCTCGTCTCGTCATCTATTCATATCGATCTATAACGTCGACAAGAGTTCTATGGAAATTTATTTATCTTATAATCATCGGCGAATGACAACACCCACGTACTCACGTCCTTTAGGTCCGTACTAGCTGCACGTTTGTGATGCATAATGCACGTTCTCATCGCACAGAACGACGCTAAGCTTTATAAACAGCGACTTCTCTCACGCTTTTATAGTAATTAAAAGAATAAAATTATTATCATATATCTTGATTGATTTCATTTTATTTTAAATCTACGAACAATGGAAGAGTAATTTAATTTAATTTTAATTTAATTTAATTTAATTTAATTTGTCTTTGTTATCGTATAGCGACTCCTCTCTTTGCAGACTGGATCGCCAAAATCATGCAATTACTCGCTAATAAACGAGCGACACTAAAGAAAATCATGCGCCTCAATAAAAAGCACCGTCAATAACACACGATCGCCGATAAAAAATATTAATAATCCCCGTGTAAAATCCATGCACAATATTATGTTATACAGGGTGTTCGCTATTATTAAGAATACACGCGAGAAGCTTCAAGCTCGACGATGAGGTCGAAAAGTAACGCGGTCAATCGCCACTTAAGAATTTCTCGTGCGAGATAAGAATGATATTTTAAATATCTTATTACATTTTTATAACGTATATCGTCCATTTAAGCTTCTCCAACGTCGACTTGTTCGTATCTTTCTAATTTAAGTATAGATTTTAATTTAAAGTAATTATCAATGTTAATATTAAAAGTGCTATCCGGCTATTAAGTAAATTTCAAATTTTAAATATTCTTTGTTTAAAGAATATATGATACCAAATTAATAGGAAGTATTTTAAATGTAATAAAAGGAAATATATTTTAAATATTAAAACTACCATTAAATTAAAATTGCAATTAATGCATAATGACTATCAATTAGAATAATAATATTATTAATTGAAGTAACAATATTATAATAATATTATTAATAATATTATTTTGTATTAAAAAGTTAATTAAAATATTGAGAGCAGAAGACAGATAAAAATTAGTTGTAGAAATGTAGGATAAAAACTGAAGATTAAACTGTATAAAATGACAGTATATTTTGCAATAATGCTCGAACGATGTCTCTTCCTTTGTTTTTGGGCTCGATAATCGTTGATGCGAACTTCCGTCTCGATTTTCACATCGTTAAAATCTCTCGCTCGCTCATCCAATTAATTGCGTGCGAAATACTTTGGCGATCGATGTGCGCGATGGCATACCGCGAATGGTGAACACAAGTCGCGGATTGTTTTCCACATCGAAGGCTATTACGTGCGCCCTGACTTATACCAATCGCGGCAAAGATTAAGTTGAGATGCGCTCTTGCCATCTCGAGTCGGCGCTCACGGGGTCTGCCACTGCAGATCGATGATAACTATATGCGAATTCCATAGGAATTAATTAAGCAAGAATTAGTAAAACCTTATAAGAGTGCAAAAGGAAGTGGGACTAAGTGTTTTTTATCGGCATGAAACCAGGCATTGAAATCGCTGCATTCGCGATTAATTTAAAACACGACGCAAGTTAGTCATCTTCTTATCGATTCTAGATGTAGAGAAATGCATCTTTATTTTATGTGTCACGGAAGAGAACGCTAGAAATTTCAATAAAATGTTGCGGCCCGTTTAATTAGAGTCTACAATTATACCGCATATATTAAGTAGAACATGCGCTATCGGTCAGTAACTTGGAGAAATTAGCTTCCTTTATATTAAGACGCTATCGTGTGAAAGCGCCTTAAGGCAGGATGGGCAGCACTCCGGCAGGTCAACAGAAGCATATTTTGCATTCGCTGGGCATAAGCAGCATTAACTCCAAGAATAGTGCTAACGTGGGCGGCTCTCCCACATGCCTTCTTACGCGTCATACGCGCTTCATATTGAAAGAAGCGCACTCGACAGAAGCAGGTAAGGCACTCTACCGTAAAACAGAAACGAACATAGGTTCGTCGTTTGCTCGACAAGAGAGTCCTGTAAATGACTAACTTGCGTCGTGTTTTAAAATTAGAATAAATGATGCCAGATGATCATGAAAATGTATCTTGTCATGAGAAATGTTAAGATATAAATTCTTTTACTAAGTATACCTTGAAAGGAAAGGAAAAGAAAGGAGATTATTTTATATCAGGCTCGTAATCAGTTATGTTAGAGAAAGCAAAATTTCTTTTTCAATGCAGTTTTATGAATTTTGACATAAATCAAACGGCATTTTACTCAGGAAACAAAGTTTCTAGAATGAAAGAAAAAAATCGATTTTTTTTGCAAAAATGCTCAGCAGAGAAATGATTAAAGAGCAATTACAGAATTTAAAAATATATATTATGTAATTACGATTATATCTCTACATTATTATCATCAAAACCCCAAATATCAACAAAACGATTAAAATATAAATTGCTCTCTTAATATTGATTTTCTCAAATATTCAACTAAAATTAATTGATATTTAGCAAATAATCACTTAAAATATATCAACCATCTTGTAATCGATAAAATACCTCTTTCTTTAATAAGGTGTCGCTCTTTTTCGAAGAGAAAAATAGCTCCCCTCGTCATTCTTTGTTAGCTCGTCACATCGTGCGGTCGGCCTCGATTAGGCCTACGGAATAAATTTCTGCGGAGTGTGGGAGCGAGGCGACTGAGGTCCTCGTCTCCAATTGACCCCACTTTGCTGCAAAACTCAAGCGATTACGCGGGCAGATTTCAGTACATATACGCGGGCGCATGCCTTAGATTTTCGCAGATTACGCGCGGATTTCTTGTAGGTGAAGCACTATACATCGCGTCAGTTAAATGGATTTTTCGTGAACTTAACTTAGAAATTTATAAAGAAAATTGAATTATTAATAATAGTAAAATATAATGCTCGTAGCAATAAAATAATAAAATTACGTAAGTAATTAATTATAAATTAAAAGAAGTATAATTTGCTTTTGTTTGCAAGCGTAAAAAATTAGATTTTGCAAGAATAAATAGATTTTAAAATATATAGATATGATGATCTTATGACAAGCGATAAATAAATTTCACCGAACATTTCATTTCAAACATAATTTTTATTCGCATTATTCTTAAATTCAATGATGTATTCCAATAATATATATTTATAATATATATTTGTATTTTTTAATATATAATATATATCTACATATATATTTTAAAATCTAGATTTATTCTTGTAAAATCTGATTTCTTATGCTTGCAAATCATATGATAAGATCATTACTGACATTATTTCTTATTTTTATTTAGTTATTTTATTCAGATTACAAAATTCTTGCAAT